AAAACACGTGATAATTCCATCTGAATTTTATACTAACATCTTGATATAGAAGCATTTATATTCACATAAATATATATGGTTCATACAGAGAGTCTATTTAATATAATTCTTTTCAGCTGGACCAGTCATTTGTCCACTGTCATCCAAGATAGAAGGTCCCTTCTGGTACTACTAAGAACGAGGGATATTACCATTTTACGAGAAGGATGAACCCCCCCAGGAGGAAGGCCATTTACTGTTACACCAAAAGGATTTGTCTCAGTTAGTGGCTTGTGGATAGGTCTTAGAGACAATGCTATAACAGGAATCTCTCTGTGTGGACCACTCACGTCCTTTCCTCTCACATGGACTCCTTGGTTTAAGAGCCCAACCTCCTTCACTCGAGAGAAATCCCTGGAGAAAGATTAGATGTGGAGATGGTAAGTCAAAGCAGGATTAGGCAGCTACGACTTCAGCAGGTTACGATTAACATGAAGTCGACACAAAGAGACTACAAGCTTCTGTCTTACCAATGTTACTAACACAACAAATCTTGACATTGTAGAATTTGAAATTATTTTTAAAGGTCAGAAAAAGGTATGCTACAATGTTGTTTAGCGTTGAAAAAGTAGAATTGACTGAATATTCACAGTACTAAAAAATGAATGAATTATGACATAGTCATAGGGATAAAGCATTAGTTAGCTATTAAAAACTATAATTCCCAGCATGAATATTTAATCTGATGTATTATATATTTATATGTCCATATGCAGATAATTATGTGCAAATTATTCATGAGTACTCTGGATTGGCTTTCTCCTCTTATCGTAGTTTGCTTATACTTTTAAGTTGGCCTAACTAACTTGTATTAATCTTGTAATAAAAAAATTTGTAAAATATGTCTTAACAACAAATGCTAATTATATGATGGTAGTTGAAAAAAAACAGCAATGAAAAACTATGCAAGAGACAATTAAAATGTAGTGTTGTAGTTCACAGTCAAAAAAAAGGGCTAAAAGGAATTACTTTAAAATATTTGCTCAGTAATCATTCAACTCATATTAAGTAAGCACCTACTTTCTACCAAGCACTGTTCTATTCTTTGGGTATAAAGTGGTAAACAAGACAGACAAGGTTGCTGCTTTCCTAGAGCTTACATTCGGAACGAATAAAATACAATGATCAAATCCTTAGAGAAGCAAGATCTTTTCAGATGTTGGTAAGCGCTGTAAAAAAAAAAAATACAACAGGTATATGTGATGGAAGGTGACTGGGAGGGAGGGGCTACTTTAGATGGTGCAA